GCCCGGCCCGTCTGCAAACTGTAAAAAATTTCCACTCCGAATTTTCCACATGTATGTTCGGGACTGTAACTCAGCTCAAACTCAACCGATTTGAATGAAAGTTTTTTATTCACGTTATCAATTACCCACTTGAGGTTTTAATCCGGGATACAAATTTTTCATGAACCGATTTATTTTAAAAACAACAAGAGTAACAAAAAATCCGAAAAATTTTAGGAATTAAATTGAAAAAATTTGTGTCGATTTACGGTGCGCCTTTAAGTTGTTTACAAGTTGTTTACAGGTTGTTTACAGGTTGTTTACGTCTTGTTTTCGTTGTTGTTTTTCACCCGTTGGTGCCTATGTTCGCTCAAAAAATTTTTCATCAAAAAAATTTTTCTCTGAAAAAGCTATGGACGGACCGACGGGCTGGCCGGGCCGACGGGCCGGCCCGTCAATCCGCAACCCTGCTGACAAGGATAATAGTCGGAGAGAAGACGAAATCCTAGAAAATTCATAAGAAAATGAAAAAATTGGATATCCGTTTCCGATTTTTTCTTCAATTTTTTTAAAAATTTTACTGCAGTAATTGGCTGAAAATATTGTTTTCAGAACAAAAAACTGTTGACTGCGTGTTTAATCTTATTAAATAGATTTGTTGACAACTCGAAAAAGCTGTTTTTCCAGTCGAATAAGCATAATTATGCCAAATCTCACGATCGCTTCCGTTTCTAGAAGCAATATTCATCGCCTTGCTCGTTGTTTTTTCAGGTTTGTTTACCTTATTTTCTTCGCCAATTTTTCGAAATTTCTAATCCGTTTCCGGCACAATCTCTTTTTTCGCACTTTTCTCTCTAATCCTAATTTTTCAGTGTCGATTCAACGAAATACGCACAATCAAAGGACCCCAAAATGCCGATGCTTCCGCATGCGATCAATTTGTGTGAGTTTTCTTTTCGCATATTTAATTCAAGTGTGTATCGAGTTACATTCGCTATTGTGCTCAACAATTGTACAACCTAATATTAAAAATGTCTCTTTCAGCCGGCGATTCCCAGCCAGGAGCCATTGCTGATGATCAGTTGAAGCAGTATCGAGATACACACAAGGTAAGGAAAATTCTTGATTTTCACATTTTTTCTATGAGAATTTGTATTCTTTCAATTTTTGTTTTTCAGGAGCCACATGTCCTCACAATGTCCAATGGAGCACCAATCTACACAAAAACCGCCTCCTTGACAGCTGGAAGTCGTGGACCAATGCTCTTGCAAGATGTCGTTTTCTTGGATGAAATGGCTCATTTCGATCGCGAACGCATTCCAGAGCGTGTCGTGCATGCAAAAGGAGGCGGTGCTCATGGATACTTTGAAGTCACCCATGATATCACGAAATACTGTAAAGCTGATATGTTCAGTGAAATCGGAAAGAAGACACCAATGCTGGCTAGATTCTCTACTGTCGGTGGAGAGAGTGGATCCGCTGATACTGCTCGCGATCCACGTGGATTTGCTCTCAAGTTTTACACTGAAGAAGGCAACTGGGATTTGGTTGGAAACAACACTCCAATCTTCTTCATCCGTGACGCAATCCATTTCCCGAATTTCATTCACACCCAGAAAAGAAATCCACGCACTCATTTGAAAGATCGCAATGCTATGTACGACTTCTGGATTAACCGTCCTGAGTCGATTCATCAAGTAATGTTCCTATTCTCGGATCGCGGAACTCCTGATGGTTTCCGCCATATGAATGGATATGGATCTCATGCATTCAAGATGGTCAACAAAGAAGGACAACCGATTTATTGCAAGTTCCATTTCAAGGTGAGGCTTTAAAATCAAATATTACGAAACTGAATTTTCTAGCCGAAACAAGGAGTCAAGAATCTGAGTGCTGCCGATGCTAATAAACTTGCTGGGGATAATCCAGACTATGCTATCGAAGATTTGTTCAATGCTATCGAGAAGAAAAACTTCCCTGAATGGACCTTGTTCATCCAGGTGATGACTTTCGAGCAGGCTGAAAAATGGGAAATGAATCCATTCGATGTGACCAAGGTCTGGCCACATGGAGATTTCCCATTGATTGAAGTTGGAAAAATGATTCTTAACAGAAATCCAAAAAACTATTTCGCTGAGGTATGTAGCATAATATTTATCAATTTCTTCAACATCATAAAAATATTTCAGATTGAGCAATCTGCCTTCTGCCCAGCCCACGTTGTACCAGGAATCGAATTCTCGCCGGACAAGATGCTTCAAGGACGTCTTTTCTCATACACTGATACTCACTATCATCGTCTCGGACCAAACTACATCCAGCTGCCAGTCAACTGCCCATACCGTTCTCGTGCTCACAACACCCAACGCGACGGATTAATGACGATTGACAGCCAGGAGGATGCTCCGAACTACTTCCCAAACAGTTTCAACGGATACCGTACCCGGGAAGATGTGAAAGAGTCGACATTTGGATTGACTGGTGACGTCGATCGCTACGAAACAACCGATGATCACAACTTCGAACAACCACGTCAATTCTGGGAGAAGGTGTTGAAAGAAGACGAGAGAGATCGTTTGGTTGAGAATTTCGCAGATTCTTTGTCCGGATGCTACGAGCAAATTCAAGAGGGAATGCTCAAAATCTTCAGCAAGGTTCACCCAGATTTCGGAAACGCCGTTCGTCATGCGTTGTGCCAGAGGAAGAAGTAATTCTGAACTATTTTATTGTTTTGAAAAAAATGTATATAGAAGGATCCCCGCTGCTTTTATTAAAAGCCTTTCAATAAACTTGTTTTTAAATAGAATGTGTGTATTTTTCTATGTGCACGTTGGCGATTATAAATCAATGCTCTTTTCGAAATAAGAACCGGAAAATAGTCGATAAGGGTTGTCTATTTAGAGACTGTTATCGTTACTCTCGTGACGTCATCATTTTCTGCACAGAACAGGCGAGAAGCGGGTATAAGAATACCCCGGAAAATTGTGAACATGTGATATTCTCGTACTAAGGTCAAACAACGAAACCTACCGTAACCGAAAAACTTAGCGATTTTTCGAGAGAAAAACGTATTTTTATTGGATTCTAGGAACATTTTTAGACCTTTTAACAAAATATTTGATAACACCAGCTTGGGCGTTAGCCTCAAAGGCTTTTTTCCAAAGCTCACGTAAAACCGCAAGTTCTTCGGTTGTCATGTCGCGGCGACATCGGATAGGTCGGGGAGTGGGAGAAAAGTTGGGAATAGAACGCATGGATTTCGAGAAATTATGAATAAAAGAATCACGATCAGTTTGGGACGAAAATCGGACTTTCAAGGGGCGGGCATAGGTTTCAGTGTTGCGGCATTTTACTCTAAAATTATCAGTCGGTTTTGGTTTGGGAAGATCGGCAGGGAAGTGCTCAATAATGTTTTCAATAAATAACTTATCAATTCCTTGTTGGTCATCGACTTTCGTATCCGGGTAATTTTCGATAACGGCGATATGCGACTTTTGCTCTAGCTTCTTCAGGTTGGCGGCAAGTTCCAGCTGGGATGACACTTTGCTCGCTAGAGGTGAACCACGTAAGACATCGGCATACAGTGCACAGGAAACCTGCTTGGTTTTGAGCTTCGGCGGGCCGACACCCAGCGGTGGATCGTAATTGTTCCCGGATATTGTTTCAGCGGTCTTGATCGTAGCTTCGAGGGAGGCGATTTTTTTATCCTGACGTTCAATTCTGGCTTCGAGAGCGGCTACTCTAATTAGAAGGGCATTGACATGGGTTTCGGAAGCAGAGATTGCCTTGGGCCGTCCGCGTTTTCTCAGACTTTGAGTATTCAGAAAGGGCAGCTTGCGCGGTGGCGACTTCGTTGGCGACGATGATTCGGGGTCTGGGGTCGGCGGTGGACGAGTAGTGGGCGGGGGCGGTCCTTCGAAGGGCTCAGAAGAGGGAGCACGCGACAAGTCGTAGTTGACTTGGTGTCATTGTTCGTCGTTGTCGGCGGTACCTCAAACTCAAACTTGGGTAATTAAACCAATTAATTAACTAATCTTCAGTAATCAAAACAACGTTCCATCAAAATTCAGACAAAAAAAATCGGAAAAATCGAAAAAGAATTTTCGAAAATAGCTGGAAAATTTAAAAAGGTCTAAAATTTTGCGAAAAATCGAAGAAAAAATCAATTTATTTTCTCGATTTTCGTGCAGCTTCCTTCACTTTTTTCACTATCAAAAGCTTTACTTTACCGACGTAAAAATACTTTTAGGTTTCGGTAGTTGTCGTTGTGGGACCTTCGGTTTTTGCATACCAGCCTAACTGTAGTATTGTTATTAGCGTAGAAAATCTCCATTCGGACTGTTACAAGGAATTCAAAGAATTTCTGTTTTTCTCGTTATTATTTGCAGCTGTTTTATGGTATTGTAACTGTGTAAATCAATACATAATCTTTGTCTTTTCTCCGGTATTATCAGACTATGCCGTAGTCTTCTGTCCAAATAGAGGGGAACAACATTTCCCCTCTCTGATAACGCTACAATCTTTCTTCTTTATCTCTTCACACACATTCCCTCCCATTCCCTTTTGGTCTTTTTTTACTTCAAAATAATAAAGTCGTTTTAAACACCTCGTGGTTTTCTTAACTTAAGTAGTGTCTCAATTTTCAGGAAAACCATGCCAAACGATCCGTCTGATAACCAATTGAAGAACTACAAGGCGACTTATCCAGTGAGTGTTGCTTTTAGATCGGCAAAAAAAATTTGGAGGGTACAAAGCAATTTATGGGTACAAAATCCTCGATTCGGGGGTACAAAATAACTGAAAATTTATGATTTTTGCACCCTCGCACTGTGGATTTTGTAGCCCTAATTCACTTCATACTCTCTTGTATCCCCGAACCATTGTACCTTCCAAATTATGTGCCTTTTTATCCCTAGTTATTGCTCAATTGGGAAATTCAGAAGCCGCAAGTGATTACCACCTCAAATGGAGCCCCAATCTATACCAAAACCGCTGTCCTGACAGCTGGAAGACGTGGACCAATGCTGATGCAAGACGTCGTTTATATGGATGAAATGGCTCATTTCGATCGCGAACGAATCCCAGAGCGTGTTGTCCATGCCAAAGGAGCCGGAGCTCATGGCTACTTTGAAGTCACTCATGACATCTCCAAGTACTGTAAAGCAGACATTTTCAACAAGGTAGGAAAGCAGACCCCACTGCTGGTTCGTTTCTCAACTGTCGGTGGAGAGAGTGGATCCGCTGATACAGCTCGTGATCCTCGTGGATTTGCTATTAAGTTTTACACTGAGGAAGGCAACTGGGACTTGGTTGGAAACAACACTCCAATTTTTTTCATCCGGGATCCAATCCATTTCCCGAACTTTATTCACACACAGAAGAGAAATCCACAAACCCATTTGAAAGATCCGAATGCGATTTTTGATTTCTGGCTTCACAGACCAGAGGCTCTTCATCAAGTGATGTTCTTGTTTGGAGATAGAGGACTTCCAGATGGATACCGTCATATGAATGGATACGGATCTCATACTTTCAAAATGGTGAACAAGGAAGGAAAGGCTGTGTATTGCAAGTTCCATTTCAAGGTATCTCTCTGCATATTAGGATCTTAATCAATTTCTATCAATTAATTTTCCAGCCAACCCAAGGAGTCAAGAGCTTAACTGTCGAAAAGGCTGGTCGTCTTGCTTCTGAAGATCCAGACTATTCGATTCGCGACTTGTTCAATGCTATCGAAAAGGGAGACTTCCCAGTATGGAAGATGTTCATCCAGGTGATGACTTTCGAGCAAGCCGAGAAATGGGAATTCAATCCATTCGATGTGACCAAGGTCTGGCCACACGGAGAATTCCCATTGATTGAAGTCGGAAAAATGGTGCTTAATAGAAATCCAAGAAATTATTTCGCTGAGGTAATTGGCTGAAAGTAGAGAGAACTGCTAAAAACTAGTTTTTTTTTCAGATCGAGCAATCCGCATTCTGCCCAGCTCACATTGTTCCAGGAATTGAATTCTCTCCGGATAAGATGCTTCAAGGCCGCATTTTCTCTTACACTGACACTCATTTCCATCGCCTCGGACCAAACTACATTCAACTTCCAGTCAACTGCCCATACCGTTCCCGTGCTCACAACACCCAACGCGACGGTTCGATGGCTTATGACAACCAACAACATGCTCCAAACTATTTCCCTAACAGTTTCAACTATGGAAAAACTCGCTCTGATGTCAAGGATAACGTATTCCAAACCGTCGGAGATGTTGATCGCTATGAGAGTGGAGACGACAACAACTATGAGCAGCCACGTGTGTTCTGGGAGAAGATTCTGGATACAGGAGCTCGTGAGAGAATGTGCCAGAACTTTGCGGGAGCTCTTGGAGGATGCCATGACTTCATTGTTGCTGGAATGTTGGATCATTTTACAAAGGTTCACCCAGATTTTGGAGCTCGTGTTAAGGCTCTCATCCAGGCTCAAACTCGTTCCCACATCTAAATTTGTTGTAACTTACTTTATTGTATAAACAGGAATAAAATAAATAAATACTTATTACAAGGGATGTCTGGCCCTGAACTTCTCCGCAAGTCGTTGACCGAGAAGAGAATCATGTTTCATCGTTTCTCGTTCAATCAAAAGTTGAGGAGTCAAACTCCAATTCTTTGGATCTTTGCTCATTATACAGGACTGGATAAGGGTCTGGACAAACACGTCGCGTTGAGCATGAGATCCTCCAATTTGAACAACTTTGTCTCGAATTGGGAACATCGTTTCAGCTGCTGTGTCGTAGTCACAACGAGCGTAGTCTAGCATTCCGTCGTATAAAGGCATTCCAATCTCTTTGCTGATTTTTGCGTTGTCTTCGGAGAGGATGCTGGAAAATATGAAGTTTGATTTTTTTGATTTTAAAATAAACTTCAAAGGGGGACTTTAACCAAAATTTTAAAGCGTTTGAAAAGTTAGTTATCTATCTATATTTCTCAAAATATTTTTGCAAAAAAAATTCAACAAAAAAAACGAAAGCCGCTGAAAGTGCCAATAGGGAAAAGGGTTTGAATTCCCGCGCAGTGTAAAACCTAGGCCGCGGCGGCAGGACAACTTCTTTTCAAGTGACGGAAAGTGGTTTTTGACGTTTTTACGTGCCAGAGATAAAAGCGTAGAAATTCAGGAAAAATTCCATGTCAAAAGGCGTCTCACCACTGTGGCCTAGGGCTCTCACTGGGCGGGAAAAAAAAACAAATCCTAGTTTGCCATCTTTCTTATTTTCGTCGGCGATTTTCGAGAATTTCGGATTTGTTTTGTTTGTTTTTTTTTGTATTAAAGTCAGGAAAACCTGCAATAAAAGGGCCCTAACTTATGTCTTTAAGTCAATTTATCTATATTTAAAAAAAATATTTTTATAAGGTATTTAAAAAAAAATTGTCAACCGATAAATTGCTTATCATAATATCAAACACGTTTCATCAGTTTATACATTCTTGATATCCTGTACATAAGTTAAGATAAATCAGGTCAAACTCAAAAGTGTGTGAGCTCTTCTAATACAGGTTATACGGCCACTTTTAAAACATGTTGGGTGCAATGAAAATCTTTGATTCTAAATTAAAAAAAAAAACTCACTTCGTGTATTTTTCCAATGAATCTCTCAAATTCTTCTCTGTCTCCAGATCGTCCTGTCTATACAATGCAACTCCCAAGTGCACATCATTGAATACAATTGAATGATTATCGATATATTTTGCGAGATGTTCCAACTTCCTCCATCGATCCTTTCCAACATCGACTCCTTCCAACTCTAATCTCCACAAAATTGAACTCGCATCTACCATATCTAGTAGAGAATTGGATCGAAGAAATCGCTTTGAAATTTCTCTGTCAAAAATCGACAGAGCATCTTCATACTCTCCAAACTCGATATGGAATAAGGCAGTGTGCCAGTAGTTGTGAGTTGCGATCATCCATCCTTTCTGAAAATATCGGTTTACAAGCCTAGTTTTTAAAAAGAACGCTTACCCTCCAATCGTCTTCTGTTCTGTACATAAACTCTTTTCCTTCTTTATGTCTTCCATTCATTTCGAGGACATGTGCTTTCGCATGAGATGCCCAGCAATCAAATCGATTTAGGCTCAATGCTTTCTCTGCTTCTGTTTCAGCATCTCCATACAAACCACATTCCTCGAGACCAAATGCATACATTCCATGGAGATAACTGAAGAAAAAGACTTGAGAAGAAGTTTCATGTAGCGTGTTTTCTCTAATTTAAGCCTGTACAAACCGTCAACTTTCAGCCCATATATCTCAATTCCTGTGAAAAATACAAAAAGTGGTCAACTGGAAAAATGTTAATCACAATACTATCAATATTTTATCAGTTGACTGATTTTTGCTATCTCTAATAGGAATCGAGATATCTACAGTTTTTGAGGTCACAGCTCAATCTTATTGCCTTGAAAGGCGCCAAAGGGCTTCGAGGAGGCGGTTCCGGATAACTGTCAAGTTTGAGCTCAATTATCTCGAGAACTGTAAAAGATATCAGAAAGTTGTAAACTGGTAAATTGTTTGTCATAATATCAGCAATCTTTTGTCTGTTGACAACTTTTTCATATCTGCTACAGGAACCGAGACAAAATTAGTTAGAATTCAAAAGATTGCAGGCTCTTCTATTAGGAGAAATACAATATAATTCAGTCCTACCTATACATTGGCAAATCTGGCTTCCACTTATTTATAATTTTCTCAATGGCATCCCTCTTTCCTTTACAGTTTCCATTGAAAAAGTGAGCATCGTGTGAGAACTTGATAGCAATTAAATCAGTCGGATAGTCGTCGATAATACTATCCCATTCATCAGCGGCTTCATGATGTTCTCTAAAAATTCAGAAAAACGTTTCATAATTTCGAATGGAAACTCACCCTCTACCCCATAGAATTGCAGCTTTGACATGTCGCTTTTCTCGGGGATTCGCATATTTTTCAGCATCAGACTCCAGCTTCTTCATGGTTTCCACAAATGCTGGATCTCTAGCAGATGCTTCGGTTCCAAGTCCCGCTAGGCTGACGAGGAATGTTCGACCCATTACTAAACATTGGAGATTATAAACAGAGTTTTAAAATTTTTTTTTTTGAAATTCCAAAACACTCGTGAATCAAAAACGGACCAGAAGCAGACGGAAAAATGCCCAAACACCGTTTGAAACTGGCTGAAAACAGCTAAACCTAGACCAGACCATAACTTCTTTTGGTCCGCCAATGGCCCGTTTTTTGTCCATTTTAATCCGTTTGTATTTGAATATTACCGTAAAACTTGTATTAGAAGGCCGCTTTCAACAGAACAGTTAGCCCCCCCCCCCCCCTAATAAAAGGGCCCTCCAAAAGCAACATGGAAGAAGGACCCCCTGTGATAGAATGACCTTCCCCTTTTTCAAAACGTGTTTTTTTTCCAATTAATAATTTCCGTACGTTTTTTTGAAGTTCAAAAATATTTCGGAAACCCCACAATTTCACAGAATATTGTTGAAACCCCTTTTTTGCTAAAAAAAAACTTTTTCAACTTTTGTGAAATTAATAAATCTTAATGATATTTTTTCGAGAATTCGCTGCATTTCTCGATGAAAAAATAGAAGGACCCCTGTAATAGAAGGGCCCTCTGGTAGTACCTTGGAACAAGGGAAAGTCCAGCCGTTCTAATATGTTTTATGGTATTTTTATAGGATTCAAGTCATGTTAATACTGAAACTACATAAATTATGGAATTCTTAACTAATATCTAGTAATAAATTATACATTTTCCATCGTTTTCTTTCATTCTGTCTCTTCATATGCTTTTTTCATTCCGAATATTGTTTACCAAACCTCCTGTTGGTTGGTTTTTGGTCTCTTAACTATTGCAAGAGCCCTAGACTTTCAGTGAACATTCTAAGTCAAAATAACCACTTTTCTATTTTCAGAAGAAAAAAAACAACTCACTAGCCTCCGGATCTGATTTGGTCAAATTCACGAGAGTCTCATGAAATCCTCCCAAACTTGCACAATCTGTCCAAGAAACCAGTTGTCGAATCGAGGCATCCAACCATTTTGCATTCTCATCACTAGTAGTGGACAATTCCAAACCGGCCGATTTCCAACCTTCACAATTTCTTAAATGATCTGCACACCATTCTGCCATTTTCTGAAGATAAACAGAATCGAAAGGGGGCGGATACTACTGATAAAACGGGAAACAATGCAGGAGAATCATCTGGGGTTAGATGATGAAAACATGAGGAAATAGGTTTTTTTCTGGCCTAGAAAAACTATTTATGAGAAGATAGATATAAGAAAGTCTTCATTCTGAACGTTATCACACTTTCTATAAATTTTCACGAATCACACATTCTAGAAAAATTGTCTGTCGCCATATAAAGCATAGGAAAGATCGGTTCAAAAAAAGAAGAAAAAGTGAAAGCAACGTAAGTAAAAAAGACAACATGTAGAGAGTAAAAGAGAAGAAGAGATCTCAGAGATATTAGAGAACAAACAACCGGCACGTGGAGAGGTCTTGAGGAGATTGTCCCGTTGATCAGAGAGGAAGAAAAACATGCCCATTGTAAAAGCAAAAGTGAGGAAAAGTGAGATGGACAAAGGGTAAAAATGTAACTGTTGCAAAAATTGATAACACCCGGAAATTCGGGAATTTTAAAATGCACTTGTTGCAAAAAAAATTATAGATACAGTCTGTAGCTCAGGAAATTTATCAATGAGTTCAAAAAATGATTGAACCCTCACAAACGTTTTTCGACCTCACTGTCTAAGCGGACCAGATTTTATCAGTAACATAACGAAAAATTTCTGATGCGGTAAACACCTTAATCTTTTTGCCTATATATCTCGCTTTCTGTAAAAGATATCGAATAGTTGTCAAATGATAAAATGTTCATCATATTATCAAAAATGTTTTGTTAGTTTACAACTTTTCGATATCTTTTACAGAAACCGAGATTAATTGGCTCAAAGTTAAAGGTGTGAGGGGGGGGGGCGTTCCAATGGAGCGCTTTCGGTAGTCAACTGTTAAAATCTATTAGAGCAAAAAAGCAATCAGAGCAAAATTTGAAACGCCTAATATTACTAATTTCTTGCATAAATTGCCCTGAAAAACAGGTGTCAAACATCACACGAAATGTGAAAAAATTTGTATTAATGTGACTTACCAGAAACTCACCTGTTCCACATAGCCTTACGGGAAACTAAAAACTCTTAGTTTTCTGACTAGTCAGTTTAATGATCACTCAATGCTCCCAGAACATATCTTATCTGTCTTCTATTGATTTTCTCGAAAATGGATGTCATATTGGATCGATTCTAATGCTCACCTTATCTAGTTATTCTCTATATCTTATCGTGAAAAAGTCTCCAGTAAATATGAAAGGAAGTGTTCCCTATATGATAAACTTGCATATTTTCACAATGGTCTGTGATTTCACTTGGTCGGTTTTAGTACTGCCAATGTTTTTTATGCCGTCTATTGCCGCACATGCGTCTGGAGTTATTGTTTGGTTTACGCAAAATCCGGTGGTTGTCGTATGGTTGGCATTCGCGTCGTTGGGAGGTACATGTTTTGTGAATTCAGAAAAAGAATTACATTTCCAGCATACCTTCATTAGAAGGGCCCCCAAACATTCAACTTTGAGCCATCTTCTCTCATTCCTGTCATCGTTCCTGTCATAGATATGAAAAAGTTGCCAACTGATAAAATGTTTATCATAATCTCACAAACATTTTATTAGTTGACAAAGTTTTGATATCTCTCATAGGAGCCGATATAATTCAGCTCAAACTTACAAGGGTGAGCCCTTCTGTTACTGGGTTTACGGTACTTGAAAACGGGCCCTTATATAATTTCTATTAGAATGGATATATTTGGACCAACTAAATCAGATATGATAGATCTTGACGAGCACTTCAAAATTACACTGTTTGGAAAACTAGATGAGCAAAGTTACAACCAAAACGAGCCGACAAAACAGTGAGAATCAAGACCCCCATATAAGCTACTTTATGGCTTGTAACTTTATTCATAGAAACGATAAATCTCTCCAAACAGTATTATTTTGTAGTACTCGAGTTCTATCATATCTGATTTAGTTGACTCACAAACATTGATTCTAAAAGAAAGAGCCCATTTCACAATTCTGATTTCCAGGAATGGCCGCCGCTATAATCTCTCTTTTCGAACACCGACATCGAGTTATTGTCACAGAAAGTCGTTTTGTTTTGAAGAATCAAACATTTCGAAGGGGTCTCTTATCATTTATGTACTTCGGACATGTGAACTTTGGCATCCCTGAAATCATCACAGCTCCTGAAAATCAAGAAGAAGCGAAACGACTTCTCTTCCAGAAGAATCCATGTCTCCCTCCAATTTTTATGGATCCCCTAACTCATGTTATTCAGTTAGATGCATCACTTTTCAATCCACATATGTACCTGACCTGCTTATATTTAGCTGTAGTTTTCTCATTCTTTTGTTCTCATATTATGTGGAGTCTTTTGCCAAGAAACAATCCATCGATGTCAGCGAGCACAAGAAAAATGATGAGAAAATTCTTTATCTGTATATGTATTCAGGTGGCGATTCCAACATTTGTCATTTATCTTCCCAACCTTTATTGGAACATTTCGATCACCTTTGATTTCTATTTTCAAGGTTCTTATCCCATTCTAAAGATGAATTTTTAATTTCAAAATTTCAAAAAATTTCAGAATTCAACAATATCAGTATCGTTCTGTTCACTCTTCATGGAACTTCTTCATCAATAGCCACTATTTTTATATACGCTCCATATAGGAATTTTACGAAAGATTTGATATTGAGTGGTAGGCAATCAAGTTTCGATCTTTGTTTTGTGAGATTCCAACAGCTGATTATAGGTGTTTTTCGTCTGAAAAAAGTGGTTCGTGAGCCAATAGTCGTCAGCGTGTCAGATCAAAACATCGGTAGACGTCGTGTCACTTTTCGATCGTCAAACAATATATGAAAATAGTTTGAGAAGTCAAAAAATTTCGGGAAGTTTCTGAATTTTTGAGAAATGAATTTTGACACGATTCTTGATATTGAATAAAAATTGCAGTACGTATTCAATCCTGCAGAGAGAACTGCTTAACAATTTTGAGTTTGTGGGCAAAGCTTCTTTTTTAAACAGTTACATATGTATGTATAAAGTCACTAATGTTTTGGATTGAAATATGGGATTTTCCATAGATACAACAATACGAAAAGGACAATTCAAAAATTTAGGGTTTTGTTTGAATGTGTTTCCAATAATATTCGGAACGTACTTTTCAAATATCCTAATGTAATGAAATTTAGGTCGAAGTCCCCCTTTATGGCATCAGAAGAAAAGTAAAAACAGTAAAGAAAACGGAAAAATATCAGTTCTTCTTCAAAAAAGTCATAAGCTAACTTTCTGCACTGGTGTAATTTTAACTGATATCTTACTGCTTCAAAACTAGTTTTTATTCGAGAAACTCGAATTCATTTCCAGCTGTCACTTGTCATACTCTCCTGTTTTTTAAGATATTTTTTTTTACATTTAACCTGATGAACTCTCAAACTACAAATTGCCCTTCGTCATATTTAGCTTCTGTAGAATTCTTGGAGTCTGGTTGTCATATCGGAAGCGTATTCATGATAACTCTTTCTTCTTACAGTCTATTTTTAATAGTCAAAAAGTCTCCGATAGCCATGAAATCTTCAGTTCCCTACATGATCAATTTGCATGTTCTGACTATGATCTGCGATTTAACATGGGCGGTTGTATTGCTTCCGATGTTTTTTATGCCAGTTATAGGTGCACATGCATCTGGAATATTAGTTTGGTTCACTGTGAATCCAACTATTTTAATCTGGTTAGCATTTGCGTCTTTGGGAGGTACTGAGGCAAAGGAGATATAATTGAATTTTGTTCATTTCAGGAATTTGTGCGGGAATAGTATCTCTTTTCGAAAATCGACATCAAATAATTGTGACAAATAGCTGGTTTGTGATGAAACGGAAATGGACGCGAAGAATATTTTGGACAATATTTTATACAGTAACGATCAATTTCGGTCTTCCTGAAGTGCTAACAATACCTGCAGACCAAGAAAGTTTAAAAGTAGAAGTCTTCGAAAAGTATCCATGTATCCCACTTTTGTTCTTGGACAATACGAACGCACTAATACAAAAAGATGCAAGCCTATTCAATCCTCATATGTATTTAACTTGCTTGGTTCTAGGAAGTCAAGTGTTGTTCTATTGTTCCCACATAACCTGGAGCCTTTTGCCTCGTAACAACCCATCGATGTCTTCTGGAACTCGAAAAATGCTCACGAGTTTCTTTATTTCAATGTGTATACAAGTGGCAATACCAGTTGTCGTTATTCATATTCCCAATATTTATTGGAATGTTTCAATCACATTTGATTTATATTCACAAGGTTTCTCTTCCAACTTTCGGTTTGAAGGTGGGGGGACAGGAGATTTTACGGGGGATTTTTGGGGCCAGAGTATGCATTCTACCGTGACGGTGTGCAACGCTTAATGTCACTCTGCGTACAGCTGTCGTCCTCGCCTTTATGTATGCAATCGGGTGACCGCTTTCTCTTTGCCCGTGTAGCTCAGTCGGTAGCGGCGCCGCACCCTCAATCCTCGTCCCACACGTTCAACTCCTCGAGAGGCATATTTAAACGAAATTTCGAGAACATTATTTTTTTCATGTCCCCCCACCTTTAAAAACCTTGATTTCCAGAGCTCAATAACATCAGCATCGTTTTATTCACTCTTCATGGAACTTCATCTAGTATCGCAACCATGTTCTTATATGAACCTTATAGAAAATACACGAAAAGCTTAATACTCTATAGTAAGTTTTTTTTCCATGTCTTCCCATATTTACTCTTCAAATTAAGCTCATTTCAGGCCTTCTACGTTTCCCTGAACCAAGTGCAATTCCCACGGTTGTCAGTATTTCTGGATCAAATCTCAGAAGAACAATAATATGATTTTTTGTTATTTTTGTACAAAGTTTTTGAATCTTTTATATAATTCTACTTTATGTGAAATCCATCTACTTTGTGTAAAATGCACATGCTCATATTTCAGCTGGAAACTAGATTTTTCATAATACGACAATAGGAAAAATCAAAAAAATTTCAGAACGTCATCTTTCAATTCCTATACTTTAGTTGTCAAAATTCCACGGGTCGAAAGTTGGCTCAAAATAAATTCAATAAATATATGATTTTTAATGAGAATATTCTAAAAATTGGGTGTGAAGATCCAACAGAATTAGTATCCTTAGCAATTATCAAAAATTCAATAATTTCCCTTCAGTTTTCACAGTTTTTAGTTTTTTTTGTCACTGTCAGTAGTACCACTAATGATAATCAAGACGTTAAATTTTGTTTAAAAAATCGAAAAAAATTAATTTTAGGTCATGGCCTAGTTTTTTTCAAGTCATGACCTAGTTTTTTTCCAGATTATGACCTAGGTTTTTCTAGGTCATGACCTAGTTTTTTCCAGATCATGACCTAATTTTTCGAGGTCATGTTTTTTCTAGGCCATGACCTGTTTTTTCTAGGCCATGACCTAGTTTTTTCCAGTTCATGTTTCTTCTAGGTCATGACCTAATTTTTTCCAGGTCATGACCTAGTTTTTTCCAGATCATAACCTAGTTTTTTCCAGGCCACGACCTAGTTTTTTCCAGGTCATGACCTAATTTTTTCCAGTTCATGTTTCTTCTAGGTCATGACCTAATTTTTTCCAGGTCATGACCTAGTTTTTTCCAGATCATAACCTAGTTTTTTCCAGGCCACGACCTAGTTTTTTCCAGGTCATGACCTAATTTTTTCCAGGTCCTGACCTAGTTTTTTCCAGATCATAACCTAGTTTTTTCCAGGCCACGACCTAGTTTTTTCCAGATCATGACCTCATTTTTCTTGGTCATGACCTAATTTTTTTCCAGATCATGGCCTAGTTTTTTCTAGGTCATTTGCTCTCATCTTTTATATCAATTTTTATCAAAATGTTAACAATTTGAAACAAACATCCTGACTCATCTTATGGGCATGTTTCAACTTTGAATTAGAACAAAAAAGGAAGGTTTTATTTTCCATGTTCCAAAAATATGAAAGTTGTTTTAACAAGGTCAAGAAATTCAAAAATTCAGCATATTTGGCAACTCGATGTTCTCGGCACTCCAAGGTGCCCTGAAACTCCTTTTTCAGATCGTCACTATCATTTGAGCCAAATTATCCCCGATCCTATGAGAGTTATCAAAATGTCGTCAGCTAGTAAAATGTTTAAATAATATTTTGATAAATATTTTTTCAGTTTTCAAATGTTTAATGTCTCTTATAGAAAATGAGATAATCAAGCTCCAAACAGGCGCCGCTTCTGGCGACGCAGTTATCACCGTTACTGCACATGCACTTTGAGCTCAATCATCTCGGCTCCTATGAGAGATATCAAAAATCTGTCAGCCGATGAAATAGAGGTGGTATTGTACGAGACATTTTTAGTTTTCACTTTTTTATATCTTTCATTGGAACTGGGATAAGTGAGCTCAAAACACGCGTCGCGTGCGACTCGGTTGTGATCAAAAAGGAAACTCAAAACTTGTTACATTTAGTTTCAAAACGCAGCAATCACGATAATCAATTGGATTGATTTCCCTGAAATCCTGAGTTTTGGTGGACTGAAAAAAATTAAATAGTTATTCTAATAGAATTTTTGCTAGCTATGAGTTCTCACCGATTGAGTCGAGGTTTTAGTGCTCGGTGCTCCGAGAGCTATAACGGTCAGAAGAAGAAATGTTTCGTTTATAGATTGAAAAAAAGAGCATACAAATTTTTAGCTCACTAGCCTTTTATACTGAACTTTATCAGTTTTGGTATGAAGAGAAAAAACATCCTGTCTTATCAAAGGAGCATGTTTCATATTGTATCAAAAACAAAAACAGGAAGGACTTGGGAACATAAATACTAGCAGAGAAATGGAAAAAATCATTCTGTTTTGGTCCCCAGAATGAAACTTTTAGCCATTTTCTTTTTGATTTCCGCCTTGTTTTTTGTGTCATCTGAATCCAGATTCACCAAAAATCCACCAGTGATTTCGGGAACTGTAAGTGATTCAAGTCTGAGAGTCTCTAAAGTTTTAATAAAACGAAAATCGCTTTGAACATTTCAGTACTCCCCATACCAAAATGAGGCCGAAATCCTGGAATCCCAAGCTGATAAAGTTGAGCCAATCAAATGTCGAATCTGCTGCACAATTTAAGAGATAGTTTAGAAATTATTGGTGTTAGTTTGGCCGATTGGTTACAGAGCCGTAACTACTCCAGTTTTCGATGATTTTTTTCTGAACTTGAAAATCGAATTTCAGGGAAAAACAACATGTGTCAGATGCTGAAAATGGAACTTGATGAAGTCTGAAAATTTGATGTTTGTTGTTTTCTGTCTACTGAATAAACCTTTTTGATTTGCAATATTCTTCAATTTTTAGAATTTTAGAATTCCGAAATTTTTAAATTTCTAAATTTTCAAACCGTCACTGTAGCTGCTCTTTCTCATCACAGATGACTCTATGTACTGTTTATGTGATACAAAAAATCGGAGCTGTGGAAGGGAAAAGCACCGGTGGCCGCGGCCGAAGGTCTCACAATGACAACTACCGTGACCTGAAAATATTCTCATTTGCCGGATTGATTTCCTCGTTTCTCACTGATTTTCGTCGAGTTTTCTGTTTTTTCCCGAAAATTAGAAAAATTAAAGCTTCTGATAGTGATAAAATTGTCTGAAAACACTCGAAAATCGAGAAAATAAATAGAGACAACAGAAACAAAGTTTTTTCCCCGATTTTGTGCAAATTTTTTAGACATGTGTAGGTTTTGTCTGTAAGAAAGAAACTTAAGAACTCAAAACACAGCGTTTATAGGAATCTTTATTATAAGGGCTGAAATAAGTATTCACTCTAAACTCGGATCAACCAATAACTTGTAAACCAAGATTGATTCTTCTCCGTATTTGCATGAATGTTCCATCGCTTTTAATTCGGTCGACGCACCCAATTACAATGTGATAGATGTAGTAGAATTGATCGTTCTTGTCCTGAATAGAAAATCAAAACTTTCCAATAAAATATAAATACAAACCCATTGTATTTGAAACTCCCATCTAGTTCCAACAATAGGTTCAGTAGGCTTATCTTCAGTACTAGGATGTCCCAAAGCAAATCTTACAGAGAACGTATGCTTTTCTTCAGCCGGTAAAATTAGCTCGTCGTTTGTGAAAACACCCTATGAAGTGAAATTCATGAATTTTACGGAAAAATCAATTATTACCCAAACTGTCGAGTTGTGATATTTTTTGGCTATATCAAAAAATAGCTTTAGGGTGTCATCTACAACAAAAATTATTTCATCTCAAAAATTAAGATCAGGTTTCCTCACCAACGTTTTTAGCCTCTCTGACATCAGTTGGAAGGAAACACACAGAAGTGGTTATTGGATCCTTTTCGAATTTCTTCAAAACATTCAAAGCTGTATACCAGTTATCCTCTTCCTCGTAAGTGCTTATCAGTTCTTTCATAAAAAGACCACGCATTGATAAGTAGTTCTCTTCCATAAAATCTATATGCGGTTGACATAGTACGTCCAACCATGTAACAGTCCATCGATTGGTACATCCGACGTTCTGAAAGAACACATTTTTTATAAAGTTTATTGTGGTTACTCACAAATTGGATTCCCATTTTAAAATCGAAATCGTAAGTTAGAGCTGTTTCATTTGCACCGGGTTGCAATCTCATTGTAACTCTGGCTGTTATTCCGGCATCGTTTGCTTCCAACACTTGAACCTTTATATAATCTTTGTCACCCTTTTTCGGATGCCACATCTGTCCGAATCTTTTGTACCAGGAACGGAATTGTGCTAAAAATGGAAATTTGAGAAAAGAAAATTATAAAGGTTTCCAACTTTCTGAATAACGAGGAGACTGATGCACTTCCCTTTGATCACAAACCGTGATTCTCAAATTCCTTGGACTCTTCTCAAATCCTTGCATCCACACCTTGGGAATCTTATTCTCAAAGTCTTCGTAATATTTCATGTAGGACGGTGTGAATAGGTCGAAAAGTGCTTTTACTTCTGGATTGGTTTCCTTTTTCAGTTTTTGCAACGCGTTCTCACGATCCAATAAATCTGTGTGATTTAAATTCAAAACTCCAAACTCCGTACATCCACCTCCGATTGTGACATTAGCTATTTTGAAATTCCTGTCGTATCCATTTACGCTTACCCATGTCTAAAAAATCATAATTTTTCTGAAAATAGTTTATCTTTACTTACTGAAATTCGAGCTATAATATTCCAAGTAATAGTTGTCTTATATCCCATCCGATGGGTCAATTCAATGCGAAATATCATATGGATAGTACTTTTGCCCGTTGCAAAAACTTCGGAAGAATACGGTGTACTCTCGGTCACCTCTTCGTAATATTTGCGTTGTTTGTAAATGTATCTATCGAATTGTACTGAAAAGTGTACATTTTCGGATCTTTGAACCAATAGCTGAAGCAATACCTTTGTTAAACTTGACTTCGGAGTCACAAATATTCGCAACCATGTCATCGAGCTCGACATTCATGATATTTTTCGCCCGATCTCCCCAGTATAGATTCAGAATAGAGGAAGAGTAACGAATATTCTGCGTAAGAGATTCCACCCACTTATTTTTGAATTCTTTGACAAACTCATCCGGTTCTAATTCCCAATTATGATTCGAATCAGAAACGGCCAAATCTGAAGCTTCTTTTGATGAATTCAACAAATGTGTATTGTCTTCACCATCGAGAACTTTCTCATTTATGTCCTGAACCACATATCTTCGTCCAACTTCTTTTAGAATTGAATTCAACTTGTGCGTCTTGTTTTTAGCAAAAACTGTGATTGGAGCAAAGATGACTAAGAACCAGAAAAGTAGTTTGAGCATCGTTGCAAATCTCGAACTGCTGGTAGTGTAGTTAGGAGGGTCAATAGGTTATTAGGCTGATGAAATGGGTTGCGTGGAGTTTTGAGAAAGACTATTGGATTAGGATTGATAATATGTCAGTTATCAAAATGTAGTGAGGCAATAAAAAACTTTATTCTGTGAATTTCAAGTCCATGAGTTTGCCAACTGATTGAAATATGTCTCTGTCTCTTTCTTGATTATATCAGTTTTTACAGTACTATCCTTCCTAACAGCAATGATTGCCACTTTCCTCCTACTGACTTTGAATTTTATCCAAATTGATTCCCAATTAACCAATCTAACTTTCCGGAATGAATCCACCGAATAAATAATAGTCATCGACACAATAAGGTGAGTAAAACTCATTTCTCCTTGAATGATTAAATTAAAAAAATTGTCCAATCGAGGGAAAGTATTCCAGAGTAATAGGATTGCTGTAATAATTCCAAGTGCCACCATACCCATCCCAGCGATAATCACTTTTTGAACCATTTGAAATGATTTTATATTTTCTTTTGCTTGAAATCTGGCTGCCAAAGTGTAGTTGGAATGATTTGCAAACTTTTCATGAGTCTTTGTAACTTTTTGATTCCAGTAACGAGTGTAGAAAATTAACTGAAAAATAGAAGCGTTGATTAGAAAATTATGGAGATAATTACATTGAACCCAATAATATTTGGAGCGAGAACTAATACAATCAATAATGGCATAGAGAGTAAATTGAAATAAAATATAGCAGCTATAATAAAATTTAGCACAAAGCCAATTGACAATAACGAAACGGCAATCCAAATTCTGGATTTCTTTTCGTAATCATTCAAATAATAACAAGCAAATGATCGTTCAATTGAAATTAACAAGAGTAAAGTTGTTAAAGACATCGATGCATGCATTTTCAGAAAACCCGAAATAAAGAAAATATAATCAGATTGATGAAGAATTATTGGAATCATATCATTCTGATTTCTACTGTACCATTGTTTCAGAGTCACATTTAGCTGGGTTTCATTAAAAAGACCTGAAAATAATTTTTTTTTTCGTTTTAGATTTTTTGTTAAATAAAGACACAACTACAACTACAGTAATCTAAAAATATTTTTTTTTAATTCTGAAAACAAAATTATTTTTAGGTTGCTGTAGTTGTCGTTGTGGGACTTTCGACCACAGCTCCGATTGTTTGTTCCAGCATAATACCTTTCAAAGTCCAATATCCAGTTTCGTAAGGCCAACTCATGAGTTTTGCAACAAAAAGCTCAAACCACTGAGCCATTGAAAACAAAAAGATTGTCGTCAAATTTTTGTGAAACGCTCGTATTGTTATCCCAATGTATAATCCATTTAACAAATAAATTATGGTAAAAATATAAAGAAAAAGTTCAGCAAACTCGAATAAAATCCATGGAAAAGTTATTATATCAAAATCATGTAAAATATAAATTGGGTACAAAATTGTTAAATTTTGAAATTTACTAATATTGTTTTTTACAAGAAACATCATAACTGGGATATAACACAGAAAGACGTGTAGAATAAAAGCTTTCCAATGTTATTGAGTCTGAAAAAAAAACTGATTTCAATTTTCAGCTGTTCGGTTTGTGGAAATATGACGAAGGCTAGAAAAAATTTTTTTTGGTTTTTGGATTGGGGAAAAGTTGAGAACATTTGTGATTCTGATATTAGGATCAACTTGTCCAGTAAAAAATTAGGAATCATAAATCAGAAAAAATGCAATTTGATTGGCGTCTGGGGGTGGGTTTTCATAAATCATTTTTGTGTTTTGAAATAATTGCGGTATATTAACCGAATCATTTGTAGGAGTTCTGATTTCTGTATAGTAGTTTTGATTTCGGTATCGTCAACTATTCCAAAATAGAATGAGTAAATCCTTTTTCTATTCAATAAACTACAGAGTCGATTGTTTTCCCACAATTAACCTAATATTCAGGTCTCAGGTAATTCTCAGGGAGTTACGCGGCATTGAATTTGATGGATGCGCACTTTTTAGGAGCCGCTTTCATTTTCCACTTCGAGCACCAATTCTCCAATTCAATTAAATCTGCATCAATCAATCTGTCATTCGTATCATAAATTTTCAAGTCATCTGCAAACAGTAGATAGTCACTTTGAAATTTGTCACCAATACAATTAATATATAACAAGAAGAGGGTAGGCCCAAGAACAGAGCCCTGCGGGACTCCGGACAATACGCGCCTCTCCTTCGATAGTATATCATTGATTTTGACTTGAAATTTTCTGTCCGTGACAAATGAATGAAGCCAATTTCTTAGTTTGGGAGATATCCCAAAGCTTTCCAACTTATGAATCAATTTGTTTATCGGCACTGTATCG